GTCTTCTCTAGGCAGGAGATCTTCAGAATTTCTTCTATGGTCAAAAGGTCTTCTGGAGTTGTTATTTGGACAGAAAATCTTTTGAATTTCGTCTATGAAGAGAAGACCTTCTGAGGAACTACTGTGAGCGGAAGTCATTCTATGGGCAGAACGAGGTATTCCATATACAGAAGACTTTCTGAAACTTTTCTTCAGACAGAAGACCTTCTGAAGAGCGTAAATTTGTTATAGCATCCTGTATGAGGAACTAAAAAATAGTTTAAAAAAATTAGGTCTTCAAGCTCAGGGATGTAGTGCAAGATATCAGGATTTTGGAAGAACAAAATTAGATTTTTGTAACACGAATATTGACAAAACATTAATGGTGCCACCAAATTCTCCCGATCGATAGCTTTGAATTCCCAAATATGAAGATACCCCTACGATCGTATTGAGGAGATTAATAAGATCACAAAAAATACTTTAAAAAGTACTTCCCGATTTCTTTTTAACAAATTCGTACCTTGTGATTGTCCGGATAAAGCTGTGGCTGTGAAACCATTCCAGTCTTAATTATTATCCTATGCTCATTTTGGTAAATCCTACCAAACGCCGCGGCGGATGTACAATCGGTAGCTAATAAAAAAGCGGATCTAAATTTCTTTCAGACTGTTTCTAATCAAGGGGTTACCATTTGGTTCAATGTAAAAATATTTACATTTTCTATCAATCGCGCTCAGCTAAATCCAACCTAAGTAGTCCGTTGGAAAAAACTTCTAAGTCAACTTCTCTGAACTAAATGATCAGGACCTTCAGTTCAGAGAGATTATGGTGTTTGCTTGAAGTCTTCAGAGAAATTCGAGTAAGACCAGGCGAACCACCCGCACAATTGCAGTTCACACACATCGGCTCAAACCAACGAAGCTTTGGCCGGATAAACCCTGGAATATATGAGTCTAATGTAAGGACAACAAACCATTGATTTCCGTTTGTTCCCGCACATAAGATCAAATGCTTTGCCAAATATTCTAGTCGTCAGAAGATGATGTTGAAGCATTCAAAAGCTATGCATTCCTTTTACGATTTTCTCCAAAACCCTTGAACCTAGATTCGGCTTATTTTTATTCTCGCTTATTTTTTATTCCCGTCACTTTAGGATCTATACCCAAATAATCCTACAGCATTACAATAAGAAACTTCTTAGGTGCAATATACATATCATTGATTACATTTAAATCATTTGGTTAAATGTTATACATAGTCAATATATAAATGGCGCCCAACGTCAATGTGACATATTATCAGACAATGTGACAAATTATCAGAACTCTAGGCAACATGAGTAGCCTAACTAACAAAGATCTGTAATTTAAAATAATCTGTAATATCATATCTCGTTTCCAAAACCCTACTTCTTTGAAGCAATAAGGGGCCTCAGTCATGCCATTAAAGCGTACAAATTTGTTCAGTGTATAAAATGTAAAAGGTGCCCAACCTGGACTTATTTTTTATTGGAATCAAATTTATTTTTTAATGTTCAATCAAAATAGAAATAAAAGTCTAAAAGAATAACCTGTCTGAAAGTTCCTGGTCAGAATAGAATCCCAAAATTGAGGTTGTTTTACAATGATCGGAAATAAAAAATACAATTTAATTATGTTAAGGACTATAAGGAATTCTAAGGCTAATATTACAATAAAGTTACTTTCTTAAGATTTGCTATAAAGTTTTTCTATAGCAAATAAATGGCGCCCAACGATTATTATTATCCCTCTTTAAATCAATCAAATTTAATTTCACAATATTATTTCTACTTATAAAACTAATGGCGCACATCGATTATTTCTGTTAATCTCTATCATATTTTGAAGAATTAAAAAAAATTTACATCATCCTCTATCTTTCTCTAAAAATTAAAAACCTTTCGAAACTCCCAAAATTCTCTCGCATCCCGTGCTATAATTTTACAGCATTTGTTCCGTGCCTCATATTCGATTTATGTGACTCCGCTGTATGTTCTTTTGCTTCTGCAACTTCTTTCGCAGAGATAATATTTGACTACCGAACATAAATAAATGGCCATTCATTCAGTCATTGATGCCATGCCTGACCATTTAGTCAAGCGTGTACAACAATCATAAACTTTAATAAACTTCACTGCCACCACTATCGGCGAATGCCAAGCTCAGCGGTTTGCAGTTGCCTTGGAAATTCTCTACCACATGCAGATGTTGGTTGCTGTTGCACTAGCAGCAGTCAGCCAGCCATGCTGTCAGACATCCAACATCAATGGAGTCTGTGCTTTGGTGTGAATACTGCTAAATAAACATTGTTTGTTGTACACAGCAAACATAACAGAGTGCATCTGTTGGGAACAACAACAACAACTTCAGCAACAAAAAGTTATTATTTGATGGAAAAGAAAAATCTGTGGGTTGTATCAATATGCGAATGCATCAATGGTGGGGTTTGGAGCGGGATGGTTACTCTTTAGTGCACTCGGTATGCCTTTAGGCTTTGCCTTCTGTTTGTAAGTTACCTAGGTGGCATAAACATAATTCTCTTCTGGCACATTGGATGATGTACCAAAGGCATCTAAAAACCCCCCTCTACCCGAAGATAATAGTTTGAAGTCAATTCAATTATGCTATTTATGTGTGTAAGCATTAAAAATACAGAAGCTGCAGTTGCGGCATTTACAGTAGCCAAGTTAACTAAAAACTACAACATATGTTTACATACACAATGCAATGCAACAGTGCGCCAGATGCTTGCTTGCTGCACATCAATGGGCGGTGGTGGTATGGAAAAACAACAACAAGATGAAGATGGGTTGTGTGTTTTTCTTCACAATTTCCCTTTACTGCATTGGGAGTGAATCTCTTTGTCGATATGCAACATATGGTCCATGGAGACGCAAGAAAATAAAAACAAGACACAACACAACAAACTTTAGTTATGCCGACATTAAAGTTAGCATCGTGGAGCTTCTTCATTTTTCATTGTGCGACGTTATCATCATGCGTCGTCTCCTCTGGCTAACATGTGTTATTTGTTTTGCCATCAAGTATTTTCCTATTGCTGGTAGTAGTAGATCCAATAATTTGTTTTGTTATTTTCTTCCTCTTTCCCATATCATAGCAGTTGCTCCCGTCAGATATCGCTTCATAATAATAATTTTTTTTTTTTTTTTCAAAAACAAACAAACAAACAAACAAAATAACATTAAAAGGCGTAAATTTTATTTATTACCATGCAAATGCATTTTGTAATTACTCTTCGCTCACTACATTGGACTGGACAACTGGTGGCCCATGGCCATTAAGCCTTGTGTGCAGTTACGACTTCATTGAATTGTGAATGCGTATTAAAATGGTTGTTTTATAGTCGACAAATCGACTCGATAATTCAATTGTTTTGTTTCGAATGGAGAAGGTGAATGTTAATGTTATGTGGAAACGTTATTGCATTACAGTTTTTTTAATGTTGCAAGAATGAGCTGAGGGTGATAATTTAATGACTGCAGAGTTAAGTTCTGTTTTCTATGAACTTGGAAATGGATGCAAAAATCAGAATCGGAGGCAGGATATTACAACAGAAAATTCTCGGAAAACAAGAGATTTAATGTTCAAGTCAAATTTTCATAAATGCGTTTTCAACATATAATGGCGGCCAACGTGGGGTAATTTATTAACCACATACAATTTTTTCTATAAAATATAATTTTTTTTTCATAAGGAAAACAGTCCTGCCTGCAAGCCTAAATTTTGTTTATAAATAATCTGTAATGAGTGCCTGACAAAATAGTAACAACCCAATCTCCAAACTTCTGGTCAGAACTGAATGAAGATTTTACATAATTCATTATTGAATTCTGCATTTTACAAAGGGCCTGCATATTTTTTCTATGAAAACAGTTATAAGGGCCTGAAAATTTTTTTTCCTGAGGGCCTCATTATTTTTTTATAGAAACAATTGTCCTGATTTCCTGAAAATTTTTTATAGAAAAAATTAGTCCTTAGGGCCTGTTGTTCTATAGAAAAAATAAGTTCTATGTGCTATTTCTACATAGAAACAATAGTCCTAATGGCTTGAAAATTTCGTTTCTATATAAAAAATAAGTCCTGAGGTTCAGACAAAACATGACATGTAGAAAAAAATCAGTCCTCAGGGCCGGAAAATTATTTTTCTATAGATAAAATCAATTCTCAGGGCCTGACATGTTTTCTATAGATAAAACTAGACCTAAGGGCTTGGCAAATTTTTTTCTATAGAAAAAAAGTCAATACTGAGGGCCTGACAAAATTTGTTTCTATAGAATAAATGCCAGTCGTAATGGCCTGACAATTTGTTTTCTGTCGCAAAAAAAGTTAGTCTTTAGGACCTGACAACATCAACCTAGTTGGCTTTAATTTCATATTTTGGGTTCTCCCTACCAATAATCTGCGAATGGCCCTAGGCGCATTATCCAATGTACATGTCTACCTATGTTGAAGAGATTTTTTTATCATTACGAAGTGGTTGTAATATGGCATTCCGGGACCTTAGTGGATAAAGAACATTTTCACATGACATTTTTAATATAAGTTCATGGTCCCCATACAACGGTCCTGCTTCGGTATATTCAGAGTCCCATTTTAGTGTTTGTATTTTGGTATTATGATTTCTCCTGACAGAAATTTACATAGTCCTCACATAAAAGTCTCGATCGATATTAGGTATTTCGAAGGTTCACCTTATGCTGCAGGCTATAATAAGTACGATCCAGCGGAATTAATATATCCGAATTTGAATAAGATAATGTTGCTTTAGTCAGCATTATTGGCATCATTCTCTAAAGACATACCGACCTTTAGAATTAATGTTTTTAATTTTGATTGATTTATAACAACACAATGGCGCCCAACGAAAGAATTACATATTTCAGATATTGCAAGTAGAGATAAAGCCATTTATCTAAATGGCGTTAGGAGGTATTCTTGTTTTTTTATGTAGAGTATATATCATTTTTTTTAACTTACCTTGCACAATGCTACACCTGTGTCCAAACGATCCATAAAGTTTTCTGCATTTATTGCCAATTCGGGATATAATGTGTTCATCCATTCGGCCAAATCTTCCTTCATGGCTTCCAAGTATTCTTCACTCGACTTGAAGGGTCGATATGGCCTTGCTTCGAGGAGCATCGCCATTTTTTCTGTCGTTTTTTGTTTGTTTTTCTCTACTAAAAATTAAAAATTTCTTTGCGTTCTCGGGGGGTTTTAACGTTATTACTTCGTTAGATTAGTTCCGGACGTGTCTTTTTCGTAGGCGTGGGTTTTTTCATTCAAATTATAATTCGTAAACGAAATATTTTCTTCTGGAGCGGGAGTGGTGGGGGAAATAGTGAAAATAATTTCCAATTTATTTATTATTGTTTCGACCAAACATAATTCTTTATTAAATCCAACTGACTCGCTTCTATAGCCATAACGAGCCAGAAGATAAGAGAGAGAGGGGTTTCTGTGGTGTTAACAAGCGGCAATTAATTTTAATAACGCCTGCGTTGATGATTCGTTGTTAGGATCTGTAAATAGAGAAGAAGATTGGAAATGAATATATATAAAAATTAATGGGTGGGGGTGGTGTTTGTAAATGTAAAACGGAATACAATTGTGTTTTATGTTTTTTTGATATTCACAATGAACTGGGGAATATCGATGTAAATAAGAGTTCCTTATCAGTGACATCTAGTTGACTTTTGAATAAAAAAATACATATAAATGAAATAAAGTATGTCGGGGTTTTTATTACTTTTAATAAATCTCTTGGGTGCAATGTGCAGCCATTTGATGTCTTCATTTATGAAGGAAAACGTACTGGAAAAAATGTGTCCGTCTGAACTAGCCTTACATGTGTATATTTTGAGTTATTTTCTAATCCACAATTGTTAGAGTGAACAATTATTTAAAATGGCGCCCAACAGGGCCACTTATGTTATACAAAATTTAAATATTTGTCACTGAGTGAAAAGATTTCACTCCAATTGGAAACCATTTCCAGTAAATATGTAATTTTTAAATACCATAATTAGAAATTCGGATTCAACTTCGATTTGCGGCGCCCAACGAGAGGCTGCTACTTTTTAAATTGGTAATTTGTAAAATAGATGAGTAGACTTGGCACATATGTATGTCTAATTTGGGACCTAAATTATCTCATTCCTTGCCATGTTGATCATCCTAAGATTAATATTGAAATTTTTAGCACGAAACTGGCGCCCAATGAAAAATTAAAGAGGAATTAAAAAAATTAAAGAAGGAACATCAGAACGATCATAATCGTGAGGCAATAAAAACGATTTTTGATTAATCACAAATAAAACTGATTTTGTGATTATCTTCCATCTGGTGAATATGAAAATATTCACCACCATAGGCTTGCCCCTGAACATAATATTCGAAGGAGTATCAATGTTCGAAGGAGCACCAAGTACCCCAAACTATTGGGTGTAATGTTCGGCAGCATTTTCAAATCCTTCACGAAAAGCTTTGGTATTTGCGGCATTTAGGGTGCAGACAATGAGACCTTGTAGACCTCGTATAAACCAATAAGCCGGTGAGTGGTTAGCTATGTGGCGCCAATGTAGTTTGCTAATGTAAGTGATACACAGTGGAAAACTATTCAGACCTGCCAGAATACTGCCATGAAACTTGCAACAGGGTCTTCTCATGACACCAGCGGACCATCTTCATGAGGAGACGAAAAAGAAGTCGACGCAGTAAATATTATATTAAGTACATCTTCATGATCAAGAGAAAGCGAGAGAGGTTCCAAGCTATAAGCGTGAACCTCTAGATCAACAGGCTAATCAAGCAGGCCTGAAAAGCATTCATACAGATTCTGTCGCTGAGATGTATCAACTGAGAAGAATCAGCTGCCTAGACAAAAACTAACAGTCTTTAAATCAGGATAGTGCAACCGCTTATATTCCTACTGGACACGTATTAACTCATGCGCACCATGTGAATTAGGACCACATGACTCATTGCACGTATTCAACTATCCAGCTAAGCCTAATCACATTTCTCTGAATTCTCCATAGACGCAGAAAATTCGACGGAATAATTATCTGGGAAATATATCAAACTATGGAACTATATGGACAATTTTCTACGACGAAGACGTAATATAGGGCGCGATTTTTTATTGGGGCTATGGGTTTATATATAGAGCGGGATGATTATATGGTCGCTGCGTCGAAATAAATACCTTTATTGACAATTTCGTGTACTTCGTGTTCTTGTAGTGTGATAATCTTCTTTCTTAGCAAATTGAGCCAAAAATTATAAAACTATGAGAATAAGGTATGGAGGCTAAATTAAAATACGGACCGATATGAAACACTTTTCTATGTGATTTCAACACATAGACTTCGAGGAATATTTCAAACGTAATGGCATATTTAAATGCATTTCTAACAAAATGACAAAATGATGACTTTAGTTTGATATTTGTAAATCAGGAACATGGGTTGAGTCATATTTTTTGTTCTGGACGTTTTCTCCTTTGTTTCGGTATGTCTCGTGTGAAAGTGATATTTTTGCCAGACAACTCCCAAAAAAATAACTTACTCAACTTTCCATTTGAAATTTAATTAATTTCCTTTGTTTGATGTCTAACTTTAAATTGCATTGAAATAACTTTTCTCTCTTTTTTATTAAGGATTACAAAAAAATGTCAATGAATCATTCCAATTGCGTGATTATTGCCGCTTATTTCATGTTCAATGTCAGTTAGAACAATGTAAATTATTCATCAGAGCCTTCAAAACATTTGTGCAGACACAAGAAGAAAAATCGAAGAAATAACATTCCCATTTAAGCGAAAGTTTTCTGTCTTAAGTTTTATCACGAAAAAATAAAAAAATCTAAGGACTACAACACCACCCTCATAGCAAAGATAAAATTTAAAGGTCGCAGACACTTCCCCAACTCCCTTTCCATGAAAAAGAAATTTAAAGTCAATATATATAAATCCATAAAGACAGCAATCGTCATCATAAAACTTTCCAATGGATGAGCATTATCATTCACACCAGAAATGCTTCAAACTTGTGCCAAGAGGATTCAATAAGGATAATGTTATGTATGTGTCTGCTAACTATTCGTCAATCGATTTTTATTCATTTCCTTTTGTTTTTTCCACCGAACAGTAGGGAAGGACAAAAAGAGAAAAAAATCAATGCATACAGACAGCCAGCCAGACAGGAGGTTCTGAGGTTCTGACTGTTTGTATCTTGGAGTTTACATCCTTTCGCTGCCATTATGTCTGATTGACACAAGTTAAAAATGCCATCATAATGTTACTCAAACCCATCATCAAATGGTATCCTGGCAGGACAAATTCATTGTTACGTTTAATGTTCACTTTAAAGGATTGTCATGAAATTTTATTGTTATCCCTCTCCATTTCTCTGTCGTTCCAGAAAACTCTCCTTATCTAACAATTTGCCTCTCTGAAGCATAAAAGTTAATGTCAAGAGCAGCGGCAGCAGAAACGCATTCAAGTGGCATTATGTTAAAGTTAATCTTTTACTCAAATGGGTTTGAATGGCGCTTTTCTGTTGCCACAGCACAATGAACATCAGCGCCAGCGCTGAATATTGCCAGCAACAGACAATATACATTGACGTTTGAAGTGTTGTCATTGTCAACAATGAAATCTCAGTATCAGAAAAGTCATTGACAGTTAAGTGATCCATTTAGAATGATTTAAAACTTTGTCGCCATTCTGGCATTCATTTGTTGAACTTTAATGGGGGGTTCACATGCAATGGAATTTTAAAAACCAAAAGAGAAATATCTTTGTATAATAAAATTCAGTAGGTATTCATTAAAATATATCATAAGAGGATTTATGATGATTGTTCAACGTAAAAAGGGTTCAAACTGTTGATATTTATATATGGCGCCCGACGTTGGGCTTCACAAATTTTTTGTGGTTCGGGAGAGAGAATAAAGAATGAAGAGTATAAAAATACAAGCGTTTTGAATAAGAATAAGACTACTTTTACAAAATCAAATTAATGAAGAATAATCTGTAAATAAAAAAAAAACAAAATGGCGCCCAATGTTGACCATTTCACTCTGCGTTTAAGAATTCATAGGAGGCTAAAATAAATTTGCAGACAAGTTGGAAAATGCTTTTTTGTATAGTTAAAAATAAATGTCAAACCAAACAGGAAATAGGAGCTTTTTACAAATTCGGGAGAGGAAAGATTTTAAAGCTATAGTTTTTTTTTTAAACAATAAAGAATACGAGTCTGTAAATAAAAAATCAAAATGGCGCCCAATGTTGACCATTTGCTAGACAAGTTGGAAAATGCTTCTTTGTATAGTTATGGGGCCTGAGATTTGTTCAATAAACGTAAAAAACAATTTACAAAATCGAGAGGTTTTTTTTAAACAATTTAAATGTAACATTCTTCGTCATTCTCCATACATCAACAGACAACACCCTTAAGTCATTTAAATTTATTTGCCTCTTCCAAAAAATTCAGTTGCAAATATACATTACCAGTATATTACAAAAAAAATGTGTGAAATCAGATAAATTCCTTTTGGAAATTTTAAATTAAAAAGTTAATCTTTTACTCAAATGGGTTTGAATGGCGCTTTTCTGTTGCCACAGCACAATGAACATCAGCGCCAGCGCTGAATATTGCCAGCAACAGACAATATACATTGACGTTTGAAGTGTTGTCATTGTCAACAATGAAATCTCAGTATCAGAAAAGTCATTGACAGTTAAGTGATCCATTTAGAATGATTTAAAACTTTGTCGCCATTCTGGCATTCATTTGTTGAACTTTAATGGGGGGTTCACATGCAATGGAATTTTAAAAACCAAAAGAGAAATATCTTTGTATAATAAAATTCAGTAGGTATTCATTAAAATATATCATAAGAGGATTTATGATGATTGTTCAACGTAAAAAGGGTTCAAACTGTTGATATTTATATATGGCGCCCGACGTTGGGCTTCACAAATTTTTTGTGGTTCGGGAGAGAGAATAAAGAATGAAGAGTATAAAAATACAAGCGTTTTGAATAAGAATAAGACTACTTTTACAAAATCAAATTAATGAAGAATAATCTGTAAATAAAAAAAAAACAAAATGGCGCCCAATGTTGACCATTTCACTCTGCGTTTAAGAATTCA